TATTTGAATCATGATATCATTTCATGAATTGTTAGGCCTATAAAGTTAAATATTCATCTCCCTAAATCTTGTATGTTTTAAGATTAATTCTGTCGAGGTATAGAATCAATCTTAATGTTTTATGATTAAAATCGCACAAGGATGTCGTGTTGAAGTTTCGTTAAATTTCGGAGCGAGTACTTGTTATGAATCTGCCTGTGGAAGTACACCGATTCCAGATTTGATTCTTTAGGATGATGCACTATTCGAGAAGAAAGCATTCAACATTTAAGTGTAACAGCACAATAAAATTTAATTAAATTTTTTAAAGTTAATTAAAATATTTTACAGGGCGAATTATTCAGAGTAAATGAAACAGCCGATGTTTTCAACGCTGAAATTCCGAAATTCTTCCTGCCAGTATCTTAATCGACAGCAATATATATATTTTGACCGGGCACACATAGTACACCATTGAATTAATGGGAAATTCTCTGGACTTGATAAGACATTATCCCGTACGGTTTCTCTGCTATTCGACGATCCGGCAGGGGCAAAATCGCTGACATTGTTAAATCACAGGGGTCGAAAGATTCTACCTAATTATTTTTGACTAACGATCGACCTCGAAACCGCTATACCGCTGCGGGAAAAATGAGATCCTAACACGTAACGACAGGTCCCGGCCTCAAAATCGCGTTAGCTGAGAACGGGAGAAATTAACGTAACCGGATCCCGGATAACCGTAGAAGAAATCCATCGTTTATTGGAAACTTTGTTCCTGATTGCGGATGGCTATCAGGAATGCTGCAGGAGAATGCCACTGTTTAGCAATTTATCTGTCGCAAGACAATCCGCGAATAATATTACCAGAAAATGAGATAAATCAGATTCTGAATTTTCTGTAATATCTGTGCAACGATTTCGCCACTCAAATTGAAATTTGGTAATTTACAGACAAGAAAAAGTGATACGATTTTTAATATCGGAATACAAATTTTGCTACTATGTTAAAAGTGTGACGAAAGTATATTAATTTATTTAATGGATCTCAAGAGAAATGTTGACGTTTCCAGTAGTAATGTCCTGAGTACTGAAAGTTTCCAGTAATTAAAGCAGAAGCTTGCATTTATTATTCGTGAAAGTGATAAATTGTTGTCGCGGTTTGTTAACCACTGAATAAAGCCATTCCTCAAAATTATAGGCTTCAGCAGCTTGTTAATTACGAGGCTCGTTTGTATGTCGTAATTAATGGAGTTGATTCCATTATTCCATTATATAATGCGCCATTGTGTTTTATTACAATGACTGTAATTACAAGATGAAATATCATACTTTCTATTTCGAAAATTCAGCTACAGGTTCGTCCAAAGTACAGGTATAGTTTGAGGGTTGTTATTCAAAGAGCTAAAAAAATATAAGATTCCTTTGTTCTATACTTTGACAGAATTAAACTTCCTGCGCTAAATTATTGAATTTTGCAATTAAGTTTAAGTTTGCAATTACAGTATTCCCGACTTTTCCATTTCAGATTTCAACGTTCGAAAACATTGAAAAATTCGTAGATAATAAGAAGCTACGATTTATATATTAATAAATATTTCATCGCACTGAAAATAATTATATATTTCAAGCCAATTGCCGCATCAACAATTAGTAGATTTATACGATCCTCGCTACAAGTTTCAAAATAAAATTTTAATGTACTTTTTGCGCGCTTCTACTCGATTGCATTTCTAGCAGAGGCGTCCGGCTGTTTAATTCGGAGAAATGAATCGTCGGCAGTCGTAAAATTTAACAACATTCCGCGCACTAATAATACAAGATAATTACGTTTCCGATGGTTCCACTTCGACGACCCGTAATTAATTCAGATCACTGGGTACTCGTCGTGTCGTGTCGCAGCAGAAAGGTTTTTTCCACGGTCGTCTCGAAGGCCTGATCGATTCATGTAACATAATCGAACAATTTCTCCAGAAGTCTCGCAGGGCCCTTTATCACGTCACTTATTACAACATGTTAATTACTTTCTCCGAGCGGCTGACTTCTTTCGAGAAAACCGGAGCAAACTCGCGGAGTTAATTACATCCATCCGGGCACTGTTTAACAGCAGTTGATTACCTGAAAAGCTTCATCTTTCCGCGGTAATTGCTTGAATAATTTCGCTTGTAGGAAGTTCGATAATTTATAACGAGGAGCCGCTCGACTTCTGTCAACAGGATCGATTCGGGATCGAATTTTCAGCGGACTGTTTTCCGAGCAGCAAATTCATCAACGTCGGGCACTCCGCTGAAAACAGTGTACTCTAATATCGTGTAGAAAAGTTACAGTAAAAATATCAACGTGAAAACTTCATTTTTCTTCGAGTTATTTTAATTTCTTTATCGCGGCAAGATCACCGATGCGGTCGAGCCACGTTGAGTTTGTTCAGGCTGGCGTCTCGGCGTGCAACGAGGAAACCAGGATTGTCGTTCTAATGAGAAGTAATCGCTGGATATTAATCGCGAAAACGAACTGTGAGAAGTAATTGCACAACAACACGCATGATGCTATCAGCTTGATGGTGAAGATGCATACAGTGTGTTCCTAATCTGATGGTTTCAGTATGTCGATAGCACGCGAGAGAATAAAACTGTGGAGTACAATTTCGAAGAATTCGCTCGATAACTGAATCTGAGTGAATTCATAATTTTGACTATTTGCAGTGTCCTTAGAATGCAGTGACCTTTGCAGTGTCAGTAGAATTCACAAGGATTAATTTGAGAAACGAATATCAAGGGACTAATGACTTTATGCACTAGTAGTATCTCTGAAAAAAATGCACCTTCGATGATCTCCATTTCGATTGCAATATAATGGAAGCTTCAATAAATACGTTCACGGGAAATGTTAATCCAGGCAGTTCTGTGTTTATATATCGATTAGCGATGCTAGTTAAAGTGAAGAACGACGATGAAGTATTGAATATTTCATTGGATTTGCTGTAACTAGTAGTTCAGGTCCAATCATTCTAGAAAACGAATGGGTCTATGTCTTAATCGATGTTTACACAGTTGACTGCGTACAGAAACGGACGGTAATAAGCAAACACGGTAATGAACGGCATAAAAATCTAGAAACATTAACATTGTTTCTATTGCAGAAATTTGTAATTGTAATTCATCGGTAGAGTTCTATGTTTTTATATTACTGTTTCATTATTATTTCTTTTCGTGCCGTTATTTAAGTGCCAGCCCATGTGCAAACGTAATCGACTTGTAAATTGCGCAAGCTGATCTAATGCTAATTTTAATGAGATAATAATACCGCGATGATAATACTGCAATGATAATACTGCAATTTGAGGATGAGTACACGAATTGCGTGTCTGATCAATGGTGTACACTTCTACTTCTATTTTAAAATTAACTAGCATCGAATTGAATTCAACTGAGACTTATTAAATATACGGAATAGTATAATAATCATTAATATTGAATGAAAATTCTGATTATTAGTTCAGTATTTCAAATCCATATTTCAGTAACTGTTGCACAAATTTATTTATCGGCGCGATTACAGTTAAATTACTTTGTTTAAAACATTGTAAACTGGATTTCTGTAATCTGATGATCTATTTTACTTAGCAATTAAAATGCTTCTACGATTCCAAAAATCACGAAGCAGACAACTAATCCTGAATCGCTTAACCAGAATCACTTTGATCAGATATCTGTTGATCGCCTCTTTATTTTACTGAATCTTTGGTGCAGCTTTATCAACAGTATCTCGTTTGTTCGTTACCCGACCACGTTATTCACTTCTCAAAAAACGCCTCAAACACTTCGACAGCGTACAGAAACATTTAAAAATTGACTGACAATTTATTATTCACAACTCAGATATTTTGAAATGAAAAAATCACAAGTATTCCTACAATAAACTACTTCGAATCGAAAAGCATCCTACAACTAAAACATCACAGTGGTCCCGAAGGAAATTCCCATAGCAATGGATAGCATAAATATACGTTTACAGATTTAATGACAATTTATTATCCTCAACTGCAATATTATCAAATGAGAAATTCACAAGCATCTCTTAAATGCACTGCTTGAAATCGAGAAACATCGGTCAAACGAAACATCACAGTGGTCTAGAAAGAAATTCCCATATGAACGGACAGCATAAACAAATATTTACGAATTAACTGACGTTTTATTATTCGCAACTCAGATATTTTCGAACGAAAAAATCACAAGCATCACTTAAATGCACTGCTTGAAATCGAGAAACATCGGTCAAACGAAACATCACAGTGGTCTAGAAAGAAATTCCCATATGAACGGACAGCATAAACAAATATTTACGAATTAACTGACGTTTTATTATTCGCAACTCAGATATTTTCGAACGAAAAAATCACAAGCATCACTTAAATGCACTGCTTGAAATCGAGAAACATCGGTCAAACGAAACATCACAGTGGTCTAGAAAGAAATTCCCATATGCACGGACAGCATAAACAAATATTTACAAATTAACTGACGTTTTATTTATTCGCATCTCAGATATTTTCGAACGAAAAAATCACAAGCATCTCTTAAACGCACTACTTGAAATCGAGAAAAATCGGTCAAACGAAACATCACAGTGGTCTAGAAAGAAATTTCCATATGCACGGACAGCATAAACAAATATTTACAAATTAACTGACGTTTTATTATTCGCATCTCTTAAACGCACTGCTTGAAATCGAGAAAAATCGGTCAAACGAAACATCACAGTGGTCTAGAAAGAAATTTCCATATGCACGGACAGCATAAACAAATATTTACAAATTAACTGACGTTTTATTATTCGCATCTCTTAAACGCACTGCTTGAAATCGAGAAAAATCGGTCAAATGAAACATCACAGTGGTCCAGAAAGAAATTTCCAAAAAATCTTTTCGAGATGTCGAGATAGTAATGAAAGATTATCGTCGACTGAAAGGGAATCCTGATTGTTGTATCAAAGAACCCATCCAATCTCGTTCTCACCTACGCGACGAGGAGTAATCCCTGGGCACAGAGTAGTTCACACCTGTTCACGCCGTTCCACCATCTTTTTCGCCGAGCATGATCCCGACCGGTCGTTTCAACGAGCGCAGCGGATCAAATAGCACTGATCGAACACGAAATCACGCGGTCAAACCGGCGTATCACCGAGCCCAAGCCCCACCAGCATATTTTTCGTTCGTTCACGCTCTCGCTGTGTATCAGTGCAGCTATTTGAGTAGGGATTTTGATGTTTATCGAATCGAGACAAACCACATCTGTATTCCCGGCACACCGGCCGATTGTTGCGCTCCTTCAGGATCGGTTCCGGGATTCGTGATTTCTCAGCGTTTCGATCGAGGACACGCTCCCTCGGATGCGGTCGACGACGGTGATCCAGACTTTTCCGCTGCATCTCGGTCTCCAGAGATTGGTTTCTTTGTAACGTCTCCTCTCACGGTTACTGACAACATCGGAAGCCAACGCTCGCTCCCAGGTATATATCGCCATTCTTGATAACACGATATCAGAAACATTTTGTCGCATAAATTGAGAAATTGCTGTTCACAGATTTCCAGCGGGAAGTTCTTATAGAATGAAATCTTGTTTGCACTGTCTGATGGAAAATAGTCGGCGAACAGTCTGTTCTCTCAATTTCTCGTTTATATTTTTATGTATTATATGAAACAATACTCGTGAAAATTTGCATAAAAGAACCTAATCGAACCTAACGTAAAATAACCTGATAGAAAGTAAAAAACCTTCCAATATATATAAAAACCTTGTCAACACTAGAGACAATGACTAGAGAGTCATTGCCAATATGTAGAGTAAATACCCTAAACGTTATTCCCTACAGTTTATATTATTGGAAAACTGAAAATTTTTATGTTTAGGAATAAAGGAAACAGGTTGTCGTATCTTGAATCTTGTAACTTTTACAAGTTTTACAACTCTTGTAAGCCTGATTATTACTGTCCATGTCCACTAAAATTTTAACAGAATTTATTATAATACCATTTCATTTTATTATGTTATACATTCAATTAAAATTTTAATACAAATTATATCTCGCAATGCATGTGTATAATGCATTAATGCAATTGAATACAACCAGTAATTAGATCGACAACGCTAGGGAATTACAGTAATAAGACACTTCGTTCTGTGTCCCTGTCTTTCTGTTTCTTTCTACGTTCACGAACGCAGTTATGGGCGCAGGCTTTCGTGCGATCGAAGCTATGACGTAAACTGCTCGTTAAAGAGATTTTCATCAACAGTTTCCGAGCATATTAATTATTGCAGGTACAGCTGCGCGTTGCTCTACCATGGATTAGATCAATTATGCTGGACAAAGAAAAGACAGATTTGTAAACGAACATCGCACTCAAACTTCGCCCGAATACGGTAGATAATTGCGACAATTTACCAGTCTGCGTTTAATTGAAGCTAAGCTATCGCAATTTCATTTCTCAATATTCGTCCGTGGAGTAATACTATATTAAAGGCAACGAGTCCCCGTTTATTTCATACTGAAATTACAACAGATCGAATTCCAACGGATGTCATTGTACTGAAAATGTAATTTCTATTTGTAGTCGTGAATTGAACATCATTGTTAAACGCGAAGTATTCGTGATCGAATTCTTCAACGAGCAAAATTTCATCCGAATTTTCGTCGATGATCATCGTTTTCTCTTCGGTGTACTAATTAATGAAGATTACGAGTTACTGATTCGGAGAGGCTGAAACAGAAAAAATCCACATCTGTTCCGGAGCTGATTTAATCACATTCGTTACTTTTACGGATTAAGCGAGACCATTCTTTCTTCTACCATTTTGTATGAACATTGTACAGGAAAAAGTAGAAGTTATTTCAAATTTTATTTTTTCATGTATTATCTCCAATTCACTGGCTCAGTAATCGCGGTAAAATTTCGAAGTCCTCGGAACAATTAATGTTTGCGTATTACTGGAGATCCGATATGATAATCTTGACTTTTTACATCATCATTAAAACGATATAAAATTATGACGCTCACACAGTAATGAATATTTTCGTATTATTGGAACATCAATATAACATTCACGAATTCCTGCATCTCTATTGAAACACGTGGAAAATTCGCGGAGTAAAATATTTCTAAATATTGACCAGAATTTAAAAGCATTAATTAAATGATCAACAACAATCGTGGTAGTGCAATCAATTTTCTAACGTTTTTAAAACATACCGATTAATCTAAAGGTATTATAATTTGTAAATATTTTACGATTTTATAAACAAAATCACAAATGTAGAACCTGATCAATCATCCGAGAAGTGTGTATTAATAAAATAAACAGAAGTTATAAAAGTACGAGTGATCTGATTTTTAAACGAAACCATGGGAACAGGTGAAAAACTTGCAGCGAGACGAGAACAGAAACGTCAGGAAGCGGACCGTAACAATGTAGAATTAAGCGGAGGCTGGTGGCAATTAAGCGCGCCAACACAATCTAAGGAATCGGTCGTCGGAAAGAATTTTTTTTCCGCGGGGATAAACGAAACGAACGTTCGCATGAATATAACATGAGTAACAGGAAGAAAACTGCTGGAAATAAAACAGCCTCTCAGTTAGCGAACTTCAATCTCCTACATGCCGGGATCGCAGCGGAGTAACTCCTGTCATAACGACCGGCGCTCGTAAAGTTAAGAAGCATCCACCCACGTAAGACACGTGAATTTCGCCTCCGTTAACGAAACGAGTGGAATTTCGTAACTCCCGTCTGTTCACGGCGAAACGTTTCTCGTCAACGACCTCGGCTGCAAAATATTTCCCTTCGAGTCGCAACATCGAACGACAGTAAGATTCTCTGGAACAATGTTTCAACGTTGACAGTGCTCGCGAAAAAAAATTTTCATGCGTTAATTAATTTTTACGAGACCTTGCCGGAGTTCGGTGAAATTTTACACGGAGGATAGACAAGAGATACAGGCTACGAATAAAATTTTATTCGACGGTATATGTGCTTTAATCGACACTTTATTACATATATCTTAATTATAAATATATATGATTATAAATATAAGAATTGTAAATATATAATTATAAATATGAAATAGTAAATATAAGAATTATAAATATATAATTATAAATATATGTAATAGTAAATATAAGAGTTATAAATATATAGTTACAAATATATATATGTAGTAGTAAATGTAAGAATTATAAATATATAGTTACAAATATGTAGTAGTAAATATAAGAATTATAAATATATAATTATAAATATGTAATAATAAATATAAGAATTATAAATATATAATTATAAATATGTAATAATAAATGTAGGAATTATAAATATATAATTATAAATATGTAATAATAAATATAAGAATTATAAATATATAATTATAAATATGTAATAATAAATGTAGGAATTATAAATATATAATAATAAATTAAAGAATTATTCGAATAAATAGATGAAGTAAATGATGAACAATGAATAATTGTTATTCGAATAAAATATTCGGCTAAAAAATATTCATTCATATAATTATCTAAGATAATTATTTATTCGACACAATTCGAGTAGTTCCTGGAACTTAGAAGGCCATTGAAGATTATCATTCAAAGTTTTCACTTGACATTAGTGGACCTCATTTATTTGACTTGATTACAGGGCGCGGCTTTCGACGGAAAAAGAGAACAGACGTTCCGGTCGGTAAATATTAATTAACTCGTCACGAAGCTGTGGTTTATTAATTATTTGCCGTATCTGCGAAAGGAAGCATACATTACCCTTAATCATCAGCCACCGCCATTATGATGGCACTATAGCACTGTAAATAATCCGGATAGCCTCGTTGCCGGCTTCGTGGCCTGATAATGCTCATGCTAGAATTAAACTTCTCCGCAGTCTTTCAATACCCAATTTTTTAAAGTTCGAGCGGCCGATGGTCGATAGTCGATACGTCAGCGTATCAAAGGAGACTTTTCTCGAGAAGGTTTTCGATAGTCGAGATGAGGATACTAAATTCTCCCGAACCGGCGATAAGGATTCTACCTTTATTTGAAATCTTCAGCTTCCCGAATCGACTTCGAAAATGCAACAAATTAAGTGCTGAGAGGAACTGGTAACAAATGCTGAAAGCGCACAGTTTGATTTCTGCGAATTATGAGCTCACAGTTTCTTAACAATTGTCATTGTGCCACGAGCATTTTTTTATGAAATATTGTTAACAGCATTCGTATTATACTATATATTATACTATATATCATTGTATTATACTCTCTCTCTCTCTCTCTCTCTCTCTCTCTCTCTCTCTCTCTCTCTATGTATTATACTATTATATTATGTAGAGATCTTTAATGATTAAATGTGTTACGAACATTTCTTCAGATTTTAATCAATGCTACATACAAATAAAATTATGTCTGGTTTTAAGTAATAATGTTTTAACAATATTACAATAAGCATTGTCAAATTTTGCGAAGATTGCTGCAGTGATTTTTGTATGCATAAATGTGGTATGAAAATTCTATCAAATTTTGAGCACTGGTACATATAATGTTTATTTATAGTAATCAGTTTTCATCAATATTTATGACAGCGGTACAGCGTATTTATGGTAAATATTTGAAAGATATTCACACGATGAAATATGATCCGAGACGTTGCAATGAATATCCTAGTATGGTTTCGCAAACTGGTTTACATAATAACTCTGTTAAAATCGTGATTCAGTTATAATATTAGTAATCATGACGCATCCGAGTTACGGGAACAAACCGAGAAGTAAAATGGAAATGGAAATCTATGTAAATGGAAGATGCGGGTGATAACGTGTAATATAGCGTCCAATAATAATTCTGGTCCACTGGGTAATGCTAAAAACTCTATACAGAACTTCGTTCGATGAGTTCCGTAATGTGTCTGTATTTACGCTTTTAATAAGCGTCCAGCTGGTCGCCTACAAACCCACGCATTTCAATAGTAATCATGTACTCGAATGGCTTTTATTTATATATAATCGAATGTTGTGTAATAAAGTTATTAAACGTAACTACACTGACAGATCTGCCGCTGGTTAGAATTAAATACAAGATTAAATAAAATTGCTGT